ATTTTTAATTTTTTTTAGCTAAATAATTTATTTAGTCATTGTTGTTGGAATCTTAACCGGCATGTTGGAAACTAAAGACCTATTCAAAACTCAATAAGTACTCATAGATCAAAAATAGCACAACTGTTTAAGTATCTTTACCTTCTAATCTTGAACCCAAACTAATGCACATACTTATACCACATACCAATAATATTGGTGCCACCTCACCAATTTGTCAGTCAGCCAGACAGGATGGACCCAAATTGAATAATTACCCTTATAATAACTCAGTTAGTATAGGCTAAGTTTCTATAATTTTATAATTAGTTGATTTAATCATAATAATTTAACTATATGTATGCAATTTAAATTGAGTTTAATTTACCGAATGGAAAATAGTCTACAATAATTGAATAAAATAAAAATAATTGTAATTCTTTTAAACAATACTTTTAACTTTTAATAGAAAAAAAAACATAATTTAATATTATAATACACATACGTCATACACATGTAGAGATATAAGAATATTTCACTGTATCCGATAAAAAAAAATAATAGAAAATATAACAAGTTTACAACTCATAATATTTGTTATTATTGATTTATAACTTAAAACTAATATTAAGATAAGAAATTAAAAATTATAATTACAATACAATGGTTTAAATATCTGCCACAAAATTTGGATGGACTACTAATATAGGATCTTCATCAACAGCATCTTGTTCTTGTTCTACGCCACTGGGTTGTGATTTTGATTGTTGTGATAAGGCAATTAATACATTATCCTATTAAATAATAAGTATATTTCAAGTATTGTAGTATAATATACATTACACAAATTTATCATGAGGAACTATAATCGCATGTGTTGTCACTGTCTTATAATGTACAAAACAACACATTTTATCAGAAAGTTTAAATTCACATCTACCCAACAGTACTCAAAGTGTAACACGAGGCCTTGATATGCTGCTGTAGACCATATCTTTACAGAAATGCCGAACTGTTATAGAATTTTATATGGTCCAAAAATAAAATTGAAAACCTGTCATTGTGAGCAATGTAAATGCTTACAATTAATAAAAATGTATTATGTATGTTTAATTTGAATTAAATACATATTTTTATATTGCCCATTACAATTTTTCCGGTTTTTATTTCTTAATATTAGTAATCTTATGAATTGAGAAAGGTGCCCTTCAAAAACTTTAGTTCAATAGTATTTATGAATGTAAAATTTGCAGTTATATAGATTTGTAAGACAGAAACAACACATCTGGGTATGGTTTCCTCTTAATATACTTACATTATAAATTAAACGATCCAATATTTTCTCAATAAAACTTTTTTTTTCTAACAACTCAGTTTCATCATTGATCTGATCTTCAATTTGTTCTAAGTACCAATTGATTATGCTACTACGTAATACACCGCCATCATCACTTTCCCCTTTTTCTATAACACAAAAAA